GAACACAGCGCGGTTGCGAGATTGAGGCCCGCGCTGCAGCGGGAACACAATTTTGAAGTCGCGTGTGCGTATATATATATATATATACACAAGGCTGCATAGGCGCTTCGCGCCATGCATCTTGTTCCTTGAAGCTTTGGATCGGCTGGCTTCTCGCGGTATCCTGCGGTCCCTTCGAGGGGTCCTCGCGGGCTCGCATTGCGATTGTGCAGAGGTTGCGGAGGGGGAGTGGGAGAACTTGGTGTTCGAAGCAACGAAAGGGGCAAATGGCATGCAAGAAAAGGACTTCAGAGGGAAACTTATCGAATCCCGGGTTCGCAACCAAATTTCTTAAAAAAGTGTGCGAACCCAGGATTCTGACCAGAATGCAGCTTTATACTGCAAAATATGAGGCAGGGGGGGCGCGGGGAGGCGTGCTGACGCGACTTTGGGACAGGCAGGCTCTACGAACGTTATGTATGGGCTTCGTTCTCACCTTCCTCTTTGGACGGAGAGCGCTAATTTTCGCGCTCGGGGGCTGCGATCCTCGTGAGGGGTCCCGTTTCCGGAAGTCCCGGTTGGGGAGGATCCTATTTCGGGGGGGGGGGTCCCACCCCCCAGGATTATAAAGGCCTTCTTCGGAGAACTCGTGGAGGTTCTTAGAGGCCTTGTGGGGCGTCGTGGGGGAACTTCGTGAATGCTTCTTGGCGGCTCTTGGGCGCCTCGTGGCACGTCTGGGGAGCCGTTGAGGAGTCTTGGAGCTTCGTGTGGGCGTCTGGGTGCAGAGTCCTTGAAATCATAAGCCTTTTGCGCGCCTTGTGGCCCTTCTTGTGGCCTCCTGGAAGGGGCTTGGGGCCTCGCGTGGCCGTGTGGGAGCCGAGCGCGTTGCAATTGTATGTTTTTTCCCTTTTAAGCTCTCTCTGAAGCTTGTCTTGGGGCTCTCTGGGGCCGTCTTGGGCACGGCTTGGGCCGTCTGGAGGCTCTGTTGGGCCGGCTGTGGACTCGCTTGGAGGCTGCTTGGGCCCTCTGGGATTGGTCTTGTGGGCGTCTTCGGCCGTCTTGGCACGTCGGAACAGTGAACATGCAACGAAGCCAAAATCTTAGGAAAGCCATAAGAAATTAATGATTTTGATCTCTTGGGGCATTCTTCAGAGAACTCTGCGAGGTTCGTGGGGCCTTCTCAAGCTGTCGGGGGAACCTTTAAGAAGCTTTGAAGGCAACCCGGGGACCCTCGCGTACCCTCGTAGGTGCCTCTTCGGACGAAGATCGCTCAGTTTCGCGCTGGAAGGCTGCGATCCTCGTGAGGGGTGCCGTTTCTGAAGGCCGTCTTGGGGCTCTCTGGGGCCGTCTTGGGCACCCCTTGGGCCGTGTCGGGGCTGTCTTGGGCCGGTTTCGGACTCGCTTGGAGGCCTCTTGAGCCGTCTGGCATCGGTCTTGTGGGCGTCTTCGGCCGTCTTGGCACGTCGGAACAGTGAACATGCAAAGAAGCAACAATCCTAGAAAAACCATAGGAGATCACTGATTTTCATCTCTCGGGGGCTTCTTCGGAGGACTCTGGAAGGCTCTTGGGACCCTCTTGGGCCTTCGTAGGAGCCTCGAGAAAGCCTCTCGGGAGGTCCAAGGAGCCTCGCGTGTCCTCTCACCTTCCTCTTTGGACAGAGAGCGCTAATTTTCGCGCTCGGAGGCTGCGATCCTCGTGAGGGGTCCCGTTTCCGGAAGTCCCGGTTGGGAAGGATCCTATTTCGGGGGGGGGGTTTTCCCAACCCCCAGGATTATAAAAATATAGAAAAGGGAATATACATATAATGGCGCACCGGGTCCGGGGGCCCGGGGCCGGGACCCCGACCACAAATGTGGGCTCCGGGGGGCCCGGAGGCTCGTCGGGGCTTGCCGGAGGCCTCCCCGGTCAGACAAGACGGCCCCAGGAGCGCCCAAGACGGCCCAAGAAACTTCCAAGAGGCCTCCAAGAGGGCTCCGAGATGCTGAAGATGGCCTCCAGACGTCCAAGGACGCCCCCAAGAGGCCCCAAGAAGCCTCCAACATGCGTCCCAAGAGGGCCCCTAGACGCAAAAATTGACCCATTCCCTTCGTAAAACGTACATTTTCAACAAAGTCGCCTTTTGGGCTTTCCGACGTTACAGGACGGCCCAAGAGGCGCCCAAGACCGCCCCAAGACGGCCCAAGAAGCTTCCAAGAGGGCCCCAGGACAGCCCAAGAGGGCCCCAAGACGGCCCAAGAGGCGCCCAAGATGGCCCAAGAGGGCCCCAAGACGGGCCCAAGAGGGGGCCCAGAGGGGGACCACGAACCGCAAGCTCGAGCCTTCCGCCCCAAGAGGCCGCCAGGAGGCCCCCAGGAGGCCCCTCAAGAGGCCCCAGGAGACCCCAGACGTCCAAGGACGCCCCCAAGAGGCGAAGCCTCCAAGAAGAGGGCCTCCAACATGCGTCCCAAGAGGGCCCCTAGACGCAAAAATTGACCCATTCCCTTCGTAAAACGTACATTTTTCACAAAGTCGCCTTTTGGGCTTTCCGACGTTACAGGACGGCCCAAGAGGCGCCCAAGACCGCCCCAAGACGGCCCAAGAAGCTTCCAAGAGGGCCCCAGGACAGCCCAAGAGGGCCCCAAGACGGCCCAAGAGGCGCCCAAGATGGCCCAAGAGGGCCCCAAGACGGGCCCAAGAGGGGGCCCAGAGGGGGACCACGAACCGCAAGCTCGAGCCTTCCGCCCCAAGAGGCCGCCAGGAGGCCCCCAGGAGGCCCCTCAAGAGGCCCCAGGAGACCCCAGACGTCCAAGGACGCCCCCAAGACGCCCCAAGAAGCCTCCAACATGCGTCCCAAGAGGGCCCCTAGACGCAAAAATTGACCCATTCCCTTCGTAAAACGTACATTTTTCACAAAGTCGCCTTTTGGGCTTTCCGACGTTACAGGACGGCCCAAGAGGCGCCCAAGACCGCCCCAAGACGGCCCAAGAAGCTTCCAAGAGGGCCCCAGGACAGCGTCCAAGGACGCCCCCAAGAGGCCCCAAGAAGCCTCCAACATGCGTCCCAAGAGGGCCCCTAGACGCAAACATTGGCCCATTCCCTTCGTAAAACGTACACTTTTAACAACGTTGTCTTTTGGGCTTTCCGACGTTACAGGACGTCCCAAGAGGCGCCCAAGACCGCCCCAAGACGACCCAAGAAGCTTCCAAGAGGGCCCCAGGAAAGCCCAAGAGGGCCCCAAGACGGCCCAAGAGGCGCCCAAGATGGCCCAAGAGGGCCCCAAGACGGGCCCAAGAGGGGGCCCAGAGGGGGACCACGAACCGCAAGCTCGAGCCTTCCGCCCCAAGAGGCCGCCAGGAGGCCCCCAGGAGGCCCCTCAAGAGGCCCCAGGAGACCCCAGATGTCCAAGGACGCCCCCAAGACGCCCCAAGAAGCCTCCAACATGCGTCCCAAGAGGGCCCCTAGACGCAACAATTGACCCATTCCCTTCGTAAAACGCACATTTTTCACAACGTCGCCTTTTGGGCTTTCCGACGTTACAGGACGGCCCAAGAGGCGCCCAAGACCGCCCCAAGACGGCCCAAGAAGCTTCCAAGAGGGCCCCAGGACAGCCCAAGAGGGCCCCAAGACGGCCCAAGAGGCGCCCAAGATGGCCCAAGAGGGCCCCAAGACGGGCCCAAGAGGGGGCCCAGAGGGGGACCACGAACCGCAAGCTCGAGCTTTCCGCCCCAAGAGGCCGCCAGGAGGCCCCAAGGAGGCCCCTCAAGAGGCCCCAGGAGACCCCCAAGAGGCCCAAAGGAGGCCCCGAGAAGCCCCAAATCGGCCCCCAAAATGCTTCGAACCTGCTTCCAGGAGGCCCCCGACAGGTTCAGAGGCTCCCGAGAAGCTACGTCAAACTCCCAGCGAGCGGCCGGACGAGGCCCCCCACAAAATCACAAGAGGGTTCCAGTATTTGTATCCTTCAGCGCTCTCTGGCCTTCTTCCCCCTGCCCCCTTCCCTGCGACTTTCGTTGACCCAAGCTCGCCTCCTAGCTAGAACCTAAGCGCGCGCGAAGCGCGCGCGTGGTTCTAGTATATATATATATATATATATATATAGATTATATATATATATATATTCGTTGAGAGTGCCGGGAATCTTCCGGACAGGGTCCGGTTGGAGAGAGGACATAAGTTTTCATGATGTGTAATGGAAGAAAGGCGAGAGGCAAGCTTGGTGCCCTCGCGCCCTATCTGACATCCTACCGCTTCCACCCATCCTTTCCCATTGCGCTGATTTGTCTTTTTCCGCGGACGCGGAGGAGGAGGAGGAGGAGGAGGAGGAGGAGGAGGAGGAGGAGGAGGAGGAGGAGGAGGAGGAGGAGGAGGACGAGCATTAGGAGGAGGCGGAGGAGGAGGAGGAGGAGGAGGAGGGAGGAGGGCAGGAGGAGGACGAGGGGAGGAGGATGAGGCGGAGGGAGGAGGAGGAGGAGGAGGAGGAGGAGGAGGAGGAGGAGGAGGAGGACGGAGGAAGAGGATGAGGAGGAGATCCGCCTTCTCCTCCTCCTCCTCCTCCTCCTCCTCGTTCTCCTCTGCCGGGAAAACCTGTCAGCTGTGTTTTCTTAGCCGTACTCTCTGCTCCATGATGTGCGGTCAGCGAGGCCGCTCTGCCACTGTGGCGCCCTCGGGCTGAGCCGGCATTAGCCGCGGAGAGGGGGTGAGAGCAAGAGGGGCACGACATTTCATGGGAAGATATCTTGAAGTGGCTCCCTCCTTTGTGCTGCTGCAGCAGAAAGAAGGGTCGAGAGCAAAACCTGCCACTCCTACAGTCGGCCCTGATTAGAAGGTCGACCCTGCCAAATCAAGGGTACCCTTAGGTACCCTTGTGTCCTGTGCCTCGCGACCCATGCCTCCCACATCCCCCACGCCAATGTGGCCCTCGGAAGGGTCTTGTGTCCTCCCGCGTGTCCTGTCCAACCAAGGCCGACTGTGCCCATCGCTCCTCTCCACACCTCGTCGTCACCCAGAGTCTTCAGAGTCTCCTCCTGCCCCCCTGGATCGAGAGGACCTCTGGACCATCTGCCGCGGCCTGGTGCAGGCCGCGGCCGCCGCCACCGACCGACCAGGGCTCCTGGAGGGGCACGCGGGCAGGCGGCGGTCGCGAGGGTCCTTCCTCTGCTGCGGTCGGCATCTTCGGCTCCGCGTGCCGTGCCGCTGGCTCTGGCCCACTGCGCTTCGGCGCGACTGGCCCAGTGCGCTTCGGCGCGACACGCGATCCACCACCCCAGTCCAGGGCGTCAGCGTCCCGAGGCCTTCCTAGTCTCCCGCCCCGCGGAGCGGAGCGACACGCTTTCCGCTTGCAGGGCGTAGCGTGTCGCGGGGAAGGCCGCCGCGACACGCTAAGCAACAATTCCCGACGGCATGCTGGAGCCCACAGGCCCCATAACCACTGGAAGACTTCACGCGCACTCTTCAGCACAGGAGGACCTCACGGTGTAGCCAGCATGATCGATCAACCAGTGGGGTGATCATCGGTGAGCAAAGCACTACAGTCAACGCGCCTAGTAAGGACGCGCGCCTGCATCTAGGGCACGCTGCCCTTGCCTCTGAGGCCCGTCCTTGCCATTCTCACTGGTCGCCCGCCGCCCCAAAAAACCCAACTTTGGCCTCCAATGGTCTTGCGTCCTTATCACCCGCCCTTACTACACGTTTTCACGGTGTAGGCATCTGCTTTCGGAGGTCCGCGCGGATTTCTCGGATCTGCGATGGGCCCCCCGGCGGCATCCCTGGCGCCGCCCACGGAGCGCTCCGCGCGCCAGGTTGAGGGGGTGCAGCGCGCGCCGGCCCAAGACACCCGCGCGGACCTCCGAAGGTCTATCTCAGCAGACGTGGTCTTACAGGGCTGGCTTCGTTCAGAACATGCTGTTTAATGGGTGCGCGTTTTGCGTCTCCCCCGCGGTCTCGGTTTCTCTCTCTCTCTCTCTCTATCTCTCTCTCTCTCTCCCCCCCCCCTCCCCACACCACTTTACCGTGGGGCTCTCGCTGCTGCGTGGGTTTGCCGAAGTCTCGCCCGATGCGCGTCCGTGGGGGCCCCACAAGCTCCGTGTGCTGGGTGGGTTTACCGAGGTTCGCCCGGGGCTTCAAGCATGGTGCGTCCCTGAAGCGGGGGGCGGCGCGTGGAGAGCCTCGGGGAGGTGGTTGGAGTAAGTCGTACATGAGATTGTGTGGTGCCAAATTGCGCTAGGTCAAGTCGAATTTGAGCCAGCGACTTGCAGGGTGTGAGACAGAGCGTTACCGACAGCGCTAGATCGGGGGTGAGGTCTATGGAATAGGTACCAGATTGAGGACGAAGTTTCATGTCCTTCCTCGGCCCGTTTGCCCACTCCAAGCAGAAAGAGTGAGAGAGGGACTGGACACGCGGAGAGTGCGGGCCAAAGCAGACTGTCCAGGGCAAGCGACTGTGCCCGCGGAAAGACATGGGGCAAACAGCTTCGGCCCGCACAGCCGCCCACTCCAAGCAGCAAGAGAGAGGGGCTGGGCACGCGGGGAGCGCGGGCCAACACAAGCAAGCCCGCGGAAGGCACGGGCCTCACAAGCCCGGCCCGCACAGCCGCCCACTCCGAGCTACACGAGGAAGGGACTGGGCCCGCAGAGAGCGCGGGCCAAAGCAAGTCGGCCAGGGCAGAGATTGGGCCCCGCGGAGAGTGCGGGCCGACAAAGAGTGGCCCGCACATCCTGCCCACCATGAGCAAACAAATGCAGGGACGGGGGCCAAGCAAATTTGGCCCGCACATCTGTCCACGCCAAGCTGAAGAATGAAGCACCGTTGGGCCCGCGGAAAGTGCGGGCCCAAGCACATTTCGCCCGCACGTCTGCCCACTCCAGCAACAACAAGACAAGGGACTGGGCACGCGGTGGGTGCCGGCCAGAACAAGCACGCGAGGGTAAGTGCATGGGCCCGCGGGAAGTGCGGACCAAACAAATTTGGCCCGCACGTCTGCTCACCCCAAGCAGAAAGAGAAATGTATCGGGCACGCGGACGGTGCCGGCCAAAATCGTGCCCGCGAAGAGTGCGGGCCACAAAAATGTGGCCCGCGCATGTGCCCGCTCCCGGCAACAAGGGCAATGTATTGTATTGGGCCCGAAACGAAACGTGGCAAGAGAGACGAGCGCGGCGGCGGCCGGAGAACGAAGTGGCCGAGGTCGTCGCGAGCCGCGATGACACTTGTGCGACTGGGCGACCAGCGCTGGGGCGCCCCGCGGGCCGGTCGAACGAATTGAGGGTCCGTCGAGCACCCAGATCGCCCCCCTCAACGTGGAGTCCCCCCCCCTGCTCCCGTCGGCGGGGAGAAACTCGCCCATCCTCCTCCTCCTCCTCCTCCTCCTCCTCCTCCTCCTCCTCCTCCTCCTCCTCCTCCACCCACTCCTCCTCTTGCTCCTCCTCCTCCTCCTCCTCGTCCTCCTCCTGCTCCTCCTCGTGGTCGTTATATATCACCCCCCTCAACGGAGAGTGCAGTGGGTAACCCCTCGAGGTCTGGCGTCGCCGTTTCCAAGTCTCTCGGGGAATGCACTACGTCTTCGCGGGTTTTTTCGTCGCCGTGTTTTCTCCAAGGTTCCTCGGCGTTCTCTGATGTTCTCTGGGGCGCGTGCAGGAGTTCGATGTTCTTCGCTGGTCTCCCTGAGCAGATGGGTTAGATAAGAATAAAGGGAATGGTCTTAAGATCACTTACGAGGGGGAAGGCGGCGTGCGTCGCAACCCCCGCGGGTGCATCGCTGTGCGACTGTCGGCGGGCGATGACGGTGGCGGACGACCCGCGACGAATGACGGACGACCAACGACCAACGACCAACGACGACGACGACGGCGACGACGACGACGACGAACGACGAACCACGAACAATGAACGGTGACCAGGACGATTACTGACGACGAACGACGGACGGCGAACGACGACGAATTACGAACGACGAGCGACGATCTTCGAAAGACGCCGCGCATGCGGGCGCATCGCAACGCGACCACCGCACGGGGGGTGGGCGGGGGGGTCTGCACGAGAAGACATTGAAAGACTTTCTCGACTCGCGCGTCGCATCGGCCGCGGTTTCGCCGCGCGATTTTCGCGCGGGGGTCGACGCGCGGCGCCAGCAGCCTCCTCGCGCGACTGTGTAGCTCTCGCGCGCGCAGGCAACGACTCGCGCGTCGCACCAGCGACCCGGAACGCAAGTTCTTGCGCTGGGGGCGGCACGCAGCGCTATAGGCAGGCTCTTCGCGCGGCTGGGCAGCGCTCGAGCGCGCGGACGGAGGCTCACGCGCCGCGCCGCCAGCGGCCTCGGCACGCGATTTCGGCGTGGGGGGGTCCGCGCACGCTGTCAGGAAGCTTCCTCGTGCGACTGGGGATGCTCGCGCGCGCAGGCTAGGGAGCCCACAAAGGACGTACGCGCCCAGCTATGTACATGAACACGGCCCCTTGACCCGCGAGACCTGCCGTGCGATACGAACATTCGCGCAATGCGAACTCTCGAAACCAGCGTGGATTCATGTACACGTACGTCCTTCTTTCGCTCCTGATGGCAGGGGGATACTCGCGCGCCACACCGGCGATGGCCTCGGAGTGCAAGGTCTCGCGCGGGGGTCGGCGCGGGGCGCCAAGCAGCTTCCCTGCGCGAGCTGGCGGCGCGCGAGTGCGCGTGGGGGGGGGGCTCGCACGTCGCATCGGCTGCGGCTTCGGGGTGATCTTTCGGCGCCGTGGCTTCGATCCACGAGGTGACGGCGCCTCGCTGCGCCATTGGGCGCGCGCGTGCGCGCGCGGATGCCTCCGCGGATGCGCCGCGAACGCGCTGCATATGCAGGCGTATCGCTACGCGACCCCATAGGGAGCTCCACCGAAGGCACCAGTGGGGGTGTTCGCATGCGGTTCCCCCACCCAGGGCAGCTTTTCGTGGCCCCATAGGGAGGGGGGTGGGTGTGGGGGGTCTGCATGAGACGAAATTGAACGGCGTTTTCGGGGTCCGTCGGGCCGTGTCAACTGGGGCGTCCTCTGAGAATTCTGGGGCCTCCTGGGTGGCCCTGCGGCCCCCCTACACAGTAGGGCGTTTTGGGGGGCCTTCTGGGGCTTCGGGGCTGCCTGGGGTTTCCCGAAGCTGCCTGTGGCTTCCTGAAGTCTCCTGGGGCTTCCTGCGGCCCCTGTGGCTTCCTGAGGTTCCTTGTGCGTTCCCTGGGGATTCCCGGGCACCTCCTGGGTGTTACCTGGGTGCTTCCTGGCGCTTCCTGGGGCTTCCTGGAGTTTCCTGGGGGGGTCCTGGTGCTCCCTGAAGCTTCCTGAGGCTTCCTGAGAAGTCCTCAAGCGTCTTAGGGTTTCCTGCAGCCTTCTGATGCGCCCAGGGCCACCTGGGGAGCGCTTGGGCGCTCTTGGAGCGTCTAGGAGCGCTTGAGAGCGTCCAGGAGCGTCTGAAAGCGCTTGGAAACGCATGGGGAAAACGCGTGGGGAGCGCTTGGAGAGCACCTGCGGAGCGCTTGGGGGGCGCTTGGGGAGCGGCTGGGGGGCGTCCAGGGGGAGCCTCGGCGCGCTCGGAGCGTGTGGGAACTCTGCTAGCACCTGGGAGCGCTCGGCATTTTCGGGGAGAGCGTGTGGGGGCGTTGGAGTGCGACTGGGCCTGCTGGGGGCCGCGAGGGGAGCGCCTGGCCGCAGCCGCTCCTGGCGCGAAGAGGCGGAGGCGGAGGCGGAGGCGGAGGAGGAGAAGGAGGAGGAGGAGGAGGAGGAGGAGGAGGAGGAGGAGGAGGAGGAGGAGGAGGAGGAGGGGGAGGAGGAGGAGGAGGAGGGGGAGGAGGAGGAGGAGGAGGAGGAGGAGGAGGAGGAGGAGGAGGAGGGAGGAGGAGGAGAGGAGGAGGAGGAGGAGCGCCTGGGAGCGCCGGGCCGGTGGGCACTGCTGGGAGCGCCTGGGGCCGCTTCGGGGAGCGCCCGCGGGCCGCCGATAGGAGCGCCTGCGGCGCCCTCCAGCGTCTCCTCCTCCTCCTCCCTCCTCCCTCCTCCCTCCTCCCTCCCTCCCTCCCTCCTCCCTCCCTCCCTCCTCCCCCTCCTCCCTCCTCCCTCCTCCCTC